CTGTCCTCTGGCATGCCGGAGCACAAGGTGTGCTGGAATGCCTGCTGACAGGCACATGAGCTAATTCTGGCTTCAGGTGTCTGAATGTGCATTGCTACCCAAGCGCCTGCCTGTTAAATTAGCGCTGGAAGTCACCCGCCGCTTCATCACGGGCGAAGGAATGCTTCTGGCCCCGCTTACTGACTCCACAGGGTGCAGGAGGAAACACCACGCCTCTCTGTGAGATGTGCACGCCCAGAGACACACCTTGGAGCCTCCTCCTTCCAGGTCATTTCTGAATTCTTGTAAAATCTGCACTTATTCATGTGTGCTACAGGGGAGGATGAGAGAAGATGCCACAGTTAATACTGGAGCCTTGCTGCAAGGCTGGAAAACACAACTAACTGGTGTAGTAGCTGCATAAGAATGCAGAAAGGGAGCCAGGTCTTCCTGAACATTTTTATCATTATTTGGGCCACTTCCCTTCCGTGAAATTTTGCTCTTTTGGCAAGATGAGCTATTGATGTGTTGCAGCCAAATACGTTCTCATATTTCTGGGGAGGAGTCAACCTAACTTCAAATGATACTCCTTGATTGCCTGAAAAGATCTTTTCTTATGCAGGAAATGGTTCAGTTTTCCCTGAAAATAACACAGTGTGCACATGAAAACGCCGATTGGCTAACTGCCTGAGACAGTGAAACTTGGGTCTCTGTTCTTTCAAAACCACGTACATTCAAAGCCACATGGATGCAGCATACGTGTCCCTCCACTACAGATCTGCAGGTTGAGCAGGGAGCCCGTTATACCAGAAATTATTGCACAGCATTTTCGGGCTATTTTTCATGCACATCCCTTAGTGGGAGCCTTTACTGGCATCCCTGGTGCCCTGGTATTGCCATCTCTGCATGCCAGAAGGCACAGCCATAGTCCTTACAGGGCTCACCTGGTGGATGCTCCAGGTGTCCAGGTTGTCTCTGGGTCACCAGGTGAATGGGAGCACAGCACCACTGGGCTGCTTGCATCCCTGCAGTGTGGCCATGCTCCTGGCCCTGCAGCAGGGTGTGTTGTGCACATGGTGACTTGCAGGGACCAGACAACATTGCATAGGGAGAGCGAAAGCTTATGGGATAGGTGGGAGGCCGGCATGGGTGATGAGGACACCAAGTTTGGCTTGGAAACTACTACCAGTATGGGCAAAAATAATGCACAACCGCTCAGTGGTTGAGGGAGTGTTTACAGCAATGGTGGATAAAGGATCCTGAAGCAGCACCTGTAGTGATGGTGTGGTACAGGCTTTTCTCAGGGTTAGCTCTCCCGTAAGCGTACATGTACCAGGACCATACACAGCAGCTCCTCCTCAGCTGCAGCTTAGACAAGCAAGGGGGGAGCTGTCAAAGGGAAAAGACAAGCAAGGGGGGAGCTGTCAAAGGGAAAAGACCTATCCTGGGAATTTATACACCAGTTTTGAAGACTTCCTCTTTGGAAAAACTGTGGGTTCCCTTTCTCTTCCCTTCTTCTTTTTTCTTTTTTCTTATCTTTTTTTCCTTTCATTTTCTCTTTTTTCTTCTTTTCTTTTTTCCCTTTTCCTTTCTCTTTTCTCCTTTTTTCTTTGTATTTTCTTTTTTTGTTTCTTTTCTCCTTTTATTTTCTTTTTTTGCCTTTCCTCTCCTTCTTTTTTTTTTCCTTTTTCTTTTTCTGGGGGGTGGGGGGCAAGAAGAAATGTTGACCTTGGCTTACTGTGAGCATGAGTCGAGAAGGCAGCCCCTTGCATTTGATAAGCTCCCAGGCTGCACACTGGTTCCCTGGCACTTGGACTATAGAGGGTTGACGGACACCTTCCTGCCAGCCCCTCCTCTGAGTCTCTGCACTCATCTTGCCAAGTCCCTCCCTGACTGTCTTTCATATCCATCCCTCACCCTTATTTGGGTGTGTACCACTTCAGCACGTGACTTGCTGTCATCATCACCAGGAGGGATTTTAAACTTTTCAAACCTCCATTTGTTTGACTTCTTCATGTTGGCAAAACTATAGTTGGTGTCATAGCGTGCAAGTGGGGCACGGTCCCTCTGTGCATGGACATCCTCCATCTGAAACTGACTCCTACTGGAACAAGGTTCACCTGACACCAGATTTATGTGCGAACATGGCCCTGCTCTTGCATGTAGCTTTGACCAGGATAAGCTACACACACCCATTTTCTCTTGCACACCTCACTGTGGAGCATCGCCAGCCCTCCTCCGTGTGTCAGCCTCCCTCGTGACAAACCCACCTTGTCCTAGGCACGCTCAGATGGACCCTGCGTCTGTGCCACCCCAGTGAGTCACCGTGCCCCAGTATCGGTCAGCAGGGCTATGTCTGGTGGCCAACCAGTGCACCAGCATGAGTGCACCCATGGGACCATAATGAGCCACTCCCAAGGTCTGGCTGGATTTTTTGGGCGTTGCTGAGTTGGTCAGCACGCAGCGTTTATGAAGGACTTGTTTTCCCTTTGCCCAAATAATTAGCTTTGGATGGTGACAGTTTTAGGAATGGGCCTTGCTCGGCCTTTTCTGTAAGGAAAATAAAAGGATGTTTGGGATCCAAATAGCGCTTTGGTGGTGGTTTACTGGGAAGTCCTTCCTTCCTGGGCATGGCATGCAAAGCAAAGTGTAGAAAGCAAAGTCTTCACCCCAGCCCTTCCCAACCAAACTGCTTGGTCTTCCCAGCTGCTGCAGAGGTCACACCTCTAGCATCCATTCCCCAGTTGCTTCTTTGATTCTGCCATTTAGCCAGAAGAGCAACACAACATTTTCCCCAAGGTCCCAACAAAGGGACTACAGCTTGGCCAAGGGCCTCCCTCCCCATCCTCACCAGCACCACACGCAGGGAAGGTCTGACAGACTGCTCTGTACTTCTACTGCAGCTCCTCTCAAACTTCCATTTGGGTTTACAGGGAAGCTCATTTAACCTCCAGGCAATGAAACTTCTTCTGGTTGCTCTTCCCAGTCTCTTCTGTCCAATGACATTTTTGCAGGATTAGAAAAACAAGGGCCTGAGTTTAGGAGCTAAGAACCCTCCAGGGACCAGGCAGCGAGTGAAACCCTCTCTCTTGCAGGAGGCATGAGGGAGGATGGTAGCAGGGGGACAAAGAAGCAGCAGCTACAAGAAAACATGAAATAAAGAGACTTTGACTTCCCTGTCTGCCCCCATGTGTTTTCAAAGGCACGACCTAAACTGGACCTTCCTTCATGAACAGAGTGGGGAGCTCAGCACGTCTTCAATCTCCAGACCCTCTGTAGGCTGCTTACACCAGGAAGCCCTGCAGAGAAGCATGGTGGTGGGCTTAGTGTCAGGGTCACAGGGTGATCTGAGGACAGGAAACCTGCTAAGCCCAGCCCATGGGGAGGAAAGGCACCTCTAGCTCCCCCATTACATCAGTTACTGCAAGCAATGGGTTTCTCCACACACTTGTATTTTCCTTTGCCGTTAGCGCGACTCACAGTATTTCCCCAAGAGAAAACGAAACTACACACCAGAAACCACCAGAGACAAACCACTTGCAAAATCCCACAGTTTAGCACAGATCAGCCATTTCCCTGGGGCTTGTGCTGGCAGGGTTTTCCCCCCATCCCTTTTCATTCCTCCCACCTCTCCAGCCTCAATTGCCCCAATTACACAGCTGCTCAGGCGACCAGATCAGAAAAACAATCTTCCCCCATCCAGGTTATTTCTAACCCAGTTCATTGCCCTGACCTTGTTCCCCAAGCAGTGGCACAAACAGGTGAATTTACACAATGCAGGGATTAAGTACTGTAGGACACACTTGAGGGATGTGATATTCTCACATACGATTTATTGCTCCAGAGAGAAATCCTTGCTTAGCTGCAGCCTGAGGCTCACCTGAAAAATAGCCCTCAGCTGTTAGAAAGCTCACAGAGCTGGCAGCAATGCTTGGTGTTCAGTGTACCTGAACAGCTACTTGTTGATTGTGTACCAGTCCTCTGAAGTGGTATTAACATAAAGCCTCATACTGTTTAGGCCTGTGGATATACCTAGGAAGAGCTAGACTTGGCTGGTTCACTCAGCCGAAACTTATCACCCATATCTGGCAATACATAAACTGCAATTACGTAGATAACCTGGTCACTTATTGCATAGTGTGAAGATATATAACAGCCATATACTGAGAACGAGTATTAAACAGCAAGCCTGTCCCTATATGCAGGTTCCCATGCTGAATCATTTCACTGGGTGGGGGAGAGCAACATGGCATTAAAGCACAAAAAAATAAAAGAAGAAAAATTAGTGTAATATTTTTCAATGGTCAAAGCCCCATAGCAGCCTGTAGTTTCGACATGGATCTCATTGGGAGTATTTAGGCACTTGATAAGTATCTGGATAACATCCAGCCACTATATGGTGGGGATTATCAACTTCATTTTATAGAAGGGAAACTGGGGAAGAGATTTTAAACCCATCTCCAGTTACCTGAAATGCTGCATCTCACTAATTCTACAATCTCATTAAAGATCAAAAGCCATCAGCAAAACATCAGAAGATTGAACCCAGATCTCTCAGGGCAAAGGTGAGCATCCATACCATTTGGTCATGTTTTCTTTCAGTCAGCTACACTAAAAGTCTGATCCCCAAATATCCTGATCACTACAGCCAGTACAAAGAGGGTTCCCTACACAGCTCTCCTCAGAGTAGCTAGTTATCTAGAGATTTTGTACAAAGTACTGGAGCACGTAGGTTATTCCCAGCAGGATTTTTTTGCAGCAATTAACATCAGCACTGAAGTGCTGCATGCACACAACCACTGGTCAACATCCAGGTGGTCCAGAAGGAGTGTTGAGGTCTGAGAAAGAGACCTCAGAAACACTTACCTGTCACCAAAGTCCAAAATCCATCAACACTGACCTTCATGTAACTCCTCAGTATGTGGAACAATGCATGCAGTGTACCTGAGCCACAGAAGGGGAGGCTGGAATAAACAGTCACAGCCCCATGCTGTTTTCATAGATGAAAGAAGAGTCACCACTTCTCAAGGCACTAGGCTAGATTTATTCCTTTGACCATATCAGTATCAAACTAGAAATTATCTCTTTAAGATCATGTGTTAGAAAGGAGCCGCATTAAATAATAAACATACGAAAAAGAGACTGTGCTTCAGAAAAGATTCAGTGTACAACATACATAGTATGCCATTTTAACACAAATGCTTATAAAGAGTCATCCTAAGCATCAAAGAGAGTTTTATAAAAGTTTACGTTCTCATCCCATGGGATGTACAGAACTATGCAGTTTACATAGTTTTACTATTATCCAAAACATCGTGTTTCAAATGCACGAGGCACAGCAACAACAATATAATTCCATTTCCATAGGAACATGAACACAGCCTGTCACTAGTGACATGCTTTCCAAACCATAGCACTCAGCAGTTATACACGTGTACAATTTTAAAGTATTAAAAAGCAAGAGTCCGGAGCCTGCCCACTGTTACCAATATGGAATAACATTCGATCTACCTTTGAGAACTACCCAGGATATCCTTGCAGTACCTGTAACATAGAAATTGGGTTGAGTCGCTGTTGTGCTTTGTCAGGGCAAGCTTGCTGTGCTATTCCCAAAACTAACCACTACAGAATTCCCTCCACCCATAAAGAGGGGGACAACACCCTGTTTAGCTCCAACAGCCCAGGGAAGATGCAAAGTCAAAACACATCAGTAACCAAGTGACATTTTGGCTCCAGAGATATATGACAGAAATTAGTTCAGCATAAAGGAGGCCCTGATTTCCACTAAGCATGACCAGAGACCGGCCCAGTCTCAAAGACAGAACAAGACTGAACCACTCTTTGACTGGTTACATCATGGACTTTTTTTTTCTTTTGGAAGGTTCTCTAAGGACAGCTCAGAGAGACTGAATCTTACATCCCACGTGCTCAATTGTTACTATCTTTCCATGGCAGTATTTGCAAGCATATATTGTAAGTTTTATGAAAGTGCGAGTCACAGCACAAGAAGATATCCCAGACGAAGATGTTCCCAGCAGTGTTCTTTTTGCCATCTTCTTGTTGGTCAACCAGCAGATGCATAAATGCTTGGGATCAGCTTATCAGAGCCCCTAAGGGTTTAGCTTAATAATCTGTGCAATTAAACACTATTCACATTTGACAGCCTACAATGGCAATATTTTTATGTACAAATTTGAAAATCAAGTCTTAAAATCAAGTTTTAAGAGGTAGAGGTCCATTTCTGACCTGCCAATATAAAATGTTCCTGGGTCAGTCGTATTCCAAGGCTGGTGGTCCCCTAACAATATTGAAGTAACCAGCTAGAGCTCCAAGATCTATGTAGAGTGATCTTTGCCTCTTTAGCAGGTCCGACTCTTCCATGCTCCCGGTACACAACGAGGAATCTGAAAACAAAAGAGATGAAGGATGCTATTATTGCACAAATAAGCTACATTAGTTCAATTTCATGGCTGTAGATATTACATTGGCTTAAAAAGCTTCATTTTAAGGACAACATGGCATAAACCTCATATAAAATAAAATAAAAGATAACAAATCAACCCACAGCTCTAGGCCAAAGAAAGGTAAGCAGTTTGCTACTGAAGAGAGCAAGTGTGTTCAACTATTTAAAAAACCAACTCCATCAGCTGGGACAGCTATTCAGAGCTTCCTTCTCCTCTGAGCAATAGTTCTAAAGAAGAGCTTGGTGGAGGGAAAAAACTGCTAACTTTCTGCCAGCTGAGAATTCCCCTTCACTACAGGGCAATTTTCCTCTAAACAGATGACATCCTCTCTGCATGTGATGATACAGAATATAGGACCCATCAGTCTCGGATTATTTTCTTTTTCTTTTAAATCAAGGTCTGAAGAAACCAGACCTGGTTTGCAACAGCAGAACTCCCCTAAATACTCGTATAATGAGTGTTCTGGAATCTCAGGCATCTAAAGTTCCAGTTTAATGGTCAAATATTCTTTCATCTTCAAAAGAATTAATTCAGATGGCCTGAGACAGTCAAAGGATTATGCACCCACAAGGCAAAATTCAGAAGGAGCAATGCCATTCTAGATGCAAAGGCTGTGATCGATTTAAATGTTAAGTGGATTTGTTGCAACACTTATGCATTATGGCACTCGAAACTTCACACAAGTATCTTTTCAAATCAAATCACAATCAAATAAACCACTTGTCTGGGGTCAGTTTTTAAATGCCTTTTGTCAGGACCCTCCTAGTGTATTTATAAGCAAGAAAAGCATTTTTGAAGTCTGTTAGCAGGTTACTGGCACTAAATATCCCTTGGGCTTGATATTATCTAAGGACACACTGAGTTTCTTAACTGACTCATGTCTTATCCTTCATAAAGCACTTATTAATGCATAAGGCGAACCATGTTCTAGCCTACAGTCATTTTTGTCTTTTAAAACAAAGAGCTTGTACTACTGACACTCAGCAACATTACAGTTAGGGTTTTACATGTGCCTTTTTCTGTAAGGAGGTAAAAAGTGTTGGATTTGGTCCTGATGGTGGTTGTTGGACCTTTTGTTGTTGTTAACAAATCGCTATTATCAATAAAACATCTCTAGTACTGTGGCAAATTAAGGCAATTTGGCACAACAACCTTCAATTCCCGAAGTGCCCTGAATGACTGCCAGGGTTTTTAATGAGCCAGCCCTTCCGGAGCTGCAGAATTCAGGCTAAGTTCTTCCTCTGTTGAAGTCAATGGGTGTTTTACATAACACTTAATAAGCTCTGGATCTGATCTCATCTGATTGGGATTTTTATTTGTCTCTTTCCAGAAGCTTTTGGAGTTTCGTTTGTTTCTAAACATTCACTCAAATCAAGTTTTGACACAAAATCTACAAAGCACAAGCTAAGTAAGCCCAATATCATTACCTGTAATGTTTTCTGGCAACTGCAGCTCCTTCCTTGCAAGTAGTCTTTTTCGTTCAAACAATGCCGAGTCCAGACTCTGGCACCGCGGCTGTTCTTCTGGGGGTGGGTGTAAAGCTTCGTGCTTCAGTAAGTCTGCTGCAGACAGCCTGTGATTAGGATTCCTTTCTAGAGCTGCTTCTAGCATCAACCTCATGGCAGTGCTGCAGTCTTCAGCAATGTCCTCTAAAGGGGGGGCTTGCTTGTGTATCTGTTGGGGCAAAAAAAAAAGAAGACCACTGAAACAGTTATTCCAAAAACAATGAAAGAGGAAGTCACAGATAACCACATGAGCAGCCTGGGAATTCCCTGCTTACAGCTACTCATCACCTCCCTAAGTTGCACTGATCAATTAGAACAGAACATGGAAGTGCACAAAATCCACTTTTTCAAAATCAGATTTTATCATAAATCTAAAAACTCAAAGCAACTCCAAGCAAGCCTAAAATCCCATGCAAGGCAAATTCACCAGGTTTCTGTACCACACTGGAAGAACCAGAGAAGCAAATCTGTCAGTTTTTATCTGCACCTTCTAAGCAAGTAGAACACAGTGGGCTTGTTTCAATCAAGGGTTGCACTAACCCTGTTCTTGCAGTAAACCCAAAGCTGTATGTTGTGATTCAAACCAACTCAGCCTCTGTCTTCCCCTAAATGATCAAAACCCATTTCTTCACTCCCTCCCATGAAGCAAAAAAAGGATGATATCATCTCTCTGACAGTTTTTATATGACTGGAGCTTTACCAACAAGAGTACAGAAAACTGAAACCAAGCTATGGCTTCGCTAAGGACACTTACAATATAGAGGTAAGATGGATATGCAGAACGAGGATATCTGTTCACCCAGGGTGGGATGCCAGTTTGCATATGAATAATGGTAGCTCCCATGCTGTAGATGTCCGCTTTTGTTGTGTGGCCTCTGCAAAGGATAACTTCAGGGCTCATGTAGATCTGTGAAGAACAGTCAAAAGAAAAGATTAATTGATAGGGTAAAACAACAAGCAAAGACAAACCGTGATATTTTGTGATCCAGGAAACTCCCCCCTGAAGGGGTGCATCCCAGTAGTGCCTGCAGCCTAAAGATGAAGCACCATCTGAGGAGTAAGAGTTTTCTGCTCTGCACATTACTACAACCACAGAGATTTTGTGGTCTGGCACCTGGACAAACTCCCTGGTTTGCCCTCCCCAGACAGGCCACAGCTCAGTGGCTATGGGGCTTAGCTGAGCTGTGAGAGATTGAGATTCAAGCCATGGCTCTGCTTCATTCAGTGGAGTAGCAGGAACCTCATCACTCCACAGCAAAAGGAGGTGCCTGAATTGTCAGTTTTGTTTTGTGGGTCTCTGCTGGGACTGCTCCATTCTGCTTGAACAACATGGATATGTACTAGGCTAAAAAGGAAGGGTGACCCCCACTGCTAGCCACCTAGCTGGGCGCAGAAGTCCACATCTCAAATCCCTGTTACACTGGGTACTACACAGCACGTCTGAGCAGAACTGACAGATGTATACCTTTCTTTCTTCCTTAGTCTTCTCTTCTCCTCTCCACCCCTTAGCCAATAACCTGCATGTTGGGCCATTACCCTAAGAAATGGGATGGTGAGAAAAAAGCCAGGTCTAAGGCTACACATTAAAATGAAAAGCTAGGTCTGTTAAGTCCTGCTGCATGCCCTTTCCACCAGGTGACTCCCAGAGCAGCTATTAAAGCAAGCATCCCTCTTCCATCCTTTTTTTTCTTTTTTTCAAACCAAAAATTCTGATCTTGTCTAAACCAAAATACAGTTTCCATCCAAACATTGCACTGAAATGTTAGGATTTGTCAAGACCCTGTAGAAGGATCTGTTGGGAAGCTCCTGCCAGCTCCAGAAAGCTCAGAGTGTAGCTGGATTAGAACCAGACAGGCAGGATGCAGAAGGCACACCCCTTGGCTGGCAGGAGCTGCCCACACCACTCTGCCACCACCGAGGGAGTAAGTAGGTTTCAATGCAACATGGGCACAGCCCACAACACACTAGGTTAGCAAGCCGTCCTATTTGCTTCTGGTTTCTACTTTTCCCTCACCCAGTTTCCCTCTAAAGGAGCCAAACAGAACTTTTAATTAGTTCAAGTCATCATGGCACAAAGAATCAGGTTAAAAGCCATTAACTGACATAAGAGCAGGAAGTTAAGTCACCACCACACGGTTCGACTACTTATTACTACAGAGGATGGCTGTAGGGCTCATGCAAATTCCAAGGAATATTTCCCAGTAAATCACGTACCATTATCTGCAAAGAGAGCTTCTGACTGAAAGTGTGTGCAAAGGTTCAGCAGGGACCTACAGCTGCTACTTATTCCTATCCATTGCTTTCCTCAGGCCTAAAACAGAATAAGTATATCTGCACTTGCCACCTTTAAGTCTCATAAGGAGCAAATAACAGAATTTCTCTTCTTGTACAGCCATCAGCAAATAAAGTGCTACTTGAGTGAAATCTATATAAACAAAAAGCAGCTGCTTTCTTGAAGAAAAGAGGATGCTGAAACAAGAACCTGTCTGCAGTTACAGTCAGTGTAAAAATGCTCAAGATGCACCTTGATTGCACAGGGACAAAAAGCAAAAATGAGATGTGCACCAAAGCTGTGATTTCAGACTGATTTAAGCTGGCCTAAGACTGTTGTCAACCAAGGTAGGCAGCCCAAGCTCTGGATACCTTCCCATTCTAACTCCTTCCTACTGCTGGGCTGGCACTTGTTTGCCAGTCAGACCAGAGACACAACCCAGCTAAAAACCAGCCCTCCACTTCACGCTAGTTTAGCATTCCTGCAAATGAACCACACCTTCCACATTCAACAAAGCTTAGCAGGCAACTTTTTCGTCCCCTCAAATAGTTGTAACTGAAGCTTATGTTTTAACATAAGCTTATGTGATATTTAAACAAAGAAACAGAAGCATAGCAGAAAGTGTAGCAAATGCCTAGAAAAACTATTTCCTGCAGAGCAATTTCATCACAACCATGGTACATTGTGCTGCATGCCTTGTACACACACTGTTCATGAAGCCCAGGTTTGTCACTCTAGACCAACCAAACAAAATATCTTTCAGTCATTCTGTCCAGAATTTCAACAATTCATTTTAATAAACACAAAGAAGATTCACTACATTCAGACCTTCCATGCTATATAGAAGCAAATAAAAATCCTAAACCCCCAGAGGAAAATATGCACAGGAGAAAGATAACTCCAACTGCCACTTCCTTTGTGGACACAAGTCCCTGCCGGTACCAGACCTAAGTGAAACCAGCCAGTTCATGGGCATGATGCTGCATGGCAGTAATGGAGCCCTAGCAAGGGGTTGCACAACTACATGCAGGCACAGCACTCCTGGACAACTGCAACACTTCTTAAGGCTGCATAACAGAGGGTGAAAAACTCAAGAAGACTTTGGAGAGTCAAGATCTTACTTTGAAAAAAATCAGTGTTATCAGACTACAAAGAGGATGTTTGTAGGTGACTGGATTAGGCACTCCACTAAGCTGAACACAGGCAATGGGGAGAGGAAGATGCCTAGGAGGAAGCCTGTGAAAACCTTTAGATTAGCATTCTTCACATTCCTGTGAGCCTGTGGTATTTGAAATACTCCTTTCCCATCACTCTTTCTGAAACCTTACTCTGGCCTGTGATGCTGCAGCAGCTGGCAGGATTGCTGGCTCTGAGGAATGAACACCTCTCCCCTGAGACAGCAAACACCAAGCACCACTATGTTTCAGGGTCGTGAGGATTACCTGCTCAGTTCTGAAGGCATGAGTGCATGTGCTCAACAATACAGAATAATTTTCTTCCTACTAAATGAAGAACTAAGTGTTTTTCACAGCTGTTCTTACCAACGTGAACTTGGCCTGTCCTCCAACAGACAGGAGTGGATCATCAGCAGCCCACTCCACAAACCTGGATATTTCCTGTTTATATACATCTCTGTCCTTGGGAAATACCCTACCAGGGCTTCCAACTCATTTCCACCGTTTTTCTTATTCTTAACAGCACACAAAACCCCCTTAAACAAACAAAAAACCCCACCCAAACCAAAATAAAACCCCATGAAGCACATATATTAAATGCCTGAAAGTATGTTGCCTCCAGTACAGTAAGCATTTTAAGCTCTTAACTCCCCTGGACAGAAAAACAGTGAAAACAAATGTTCAAGTATTTTCCCAAATATTGAAAAAAATAAGCCTGACATTCTGTGAAATCCTGGTTTATCCCACCCTTCCAAGGAGTGAAATGTGCTTCATCAGTTATACAAGTATCTCCTCTAAACACATGCCTATGCTGTGGAAGACTATCTGAGTGGTAGGCACCAACATTTCATGTAAACAAACTCCTCAGGCAAGGGAGAGCATGCAAAGCCACATCTGCAACAGCTATCCAAGTTAATTGTTGCTGCTTGGTTGTTTGCTTAAAGCTTCAACCCTGGGAACACCTTGACATGACTGCAGCTCAAGTAGCATGAGGGACCTCTGTGCATGTTCAGCATCAAAGTCATTGAGAACATTTAAAATTGCCCCACCTTCATCAATGTAATGCCTAAGCAAGTTTACCAGATAATCATCAGCCATGCCATACATAACCCCTGAAGAACAAGAGGGTTACATTTAGATAGGGAACGGAGCTTAGAAATGCTAAGGGATGAAATCCAGAGGTCTGTAGTTTCTGTGGTTTCAAAGAAGGAGTCATAATACTGTGTTGAGCAGGCCACCCCAGTCCATATCTCCAAAGAAATCCTTGCTAGAGGAAAGAATAAATTCCTGTTTGAAGTGTCTCTGACCAGCAGCTGATCCACTACAAGCAACTCTCCTCAGGGTACTGTTCTTTTGACTTCAGTGACCCCCAGTCTCAATTTGACTTGATTTAATAATCACTAACGAATGGGACTGCAGTGAAGGTGACATGGCTTTTCAAGTGTAACACCAGATTCTCCATTCAGCAAGTTGAAAATAAAAATATAATTAGGATTACATTAGTGTTTGTTTGTAACTTTTTGGTAAATTTATTATAAAACTATTTTGCCCAAGCTCCAAATTTGAGCCCAAGCATCACAACAGTGGGAGTAATACAGCAGAACGGCTTTTGTTCCACCAGCTCCTTACCTCTGTTCCTCTGAGGTCTTTGGGATAGTAAATGTCTTCAGTCATTTGAACACTTAGGCCAAAATCCACCAAAACAGCCTTAGTTGACATAAAGACAATGTTGCTTGCTAAAAGAAAATTTAAAAAAAAAAGTCAATATTTAAGTTTCTAGCATGTTCCACATTTACTTTACAATATGCCTGTTTCACTTGGATGTTGGCCTGAAAAGAGAGATTAGCACAACCTATCTCTATAACCGACAGTCCTTCTCCTAGCTAAAACCAGTCTGTTAGTGATTGGGTCCAATTTTAAATTGTATCTTTAAAACAAACTGGACTGGTTTATGTAAAAGCATAATCAATGTTCGGTCATTTTCCTAGCTATTAAAAAGAGAGAGAAAGAGAGAGAAAATGGCTAAGGTAAGAACAAAGGTGGAAGACAGGTAGGCCCCTCAGCACAAGACTTGCTCTGAAGATGTTTAATGTTCTTCAAGGTAGAGAGCATGCTGTGCAGCTCTGGCTATAAACAACATAACTGTTGATCACCAAGACGTTTCTCTAACACTAACGATTTAAATGAAGACAGAAGTAGAGAGTAACAAAGGCCCCTCTACAGCAGCCACACCAGTCTCTTGCACTGCAGTCAGTGAGAGCAGCTCAGTGTGATGACAGAGGACAGACTATGGCTGCAAGAGTAAAACAAGAGGGACAGTTCCGAACTCCCACTGAATTGCTGCAGCATCTAGGTGCTTAATTCACTTTCCTTCATAAAACTCTGCCTAAGGCACAACTTTGTACTCAGAGGCCTTCTTTGAAGTTGTATTTCTGATCAAATATTTATGAAGGTAGTGCTCTGCATAAGCCTTGAAAAATTCTTGTTTGCTGTTTCAGAAGAAGTGGACAAGTGAAGTCTCCAAGTTAAACAACAGAAACACATTTTCTCCCAGAAGCTGTGGGTCATTTTCCACCTTGACAGCATCCACACACCATCCAGTGGAAAGATGCAGGCTTGATTTCAGCAGTACCTGAAGCAATCCTTCACATAGCTGCCTCGTTACCAGTGCTACAAAACTGCATAAATAAATATGTAATTTTAGGGATACCTTTGAAGATAAGGATTTTAAACACCACATAAAGGATAAGACAGAGGGCCACACTGCCACAGCACAGCAAACTCTGCTGCCTGTTTGGCACTGTTCCCAGCCCAAGCTTTGGCTGGTTTTGGACTGAAGTTTTCCCCATCAAACACCCTCGTGATTTAAGTGTTTTCCAGCCAAGGGTTAACATAAGTGTCAGCACTGAACTGCCACTAAGAGCCAACAGAAAATTATCCTCCCCTTCCTTCAGCGCAATCTTTCTCTCAGTAAAATCCCTACCTCCTCCTGCGTCAGCAGGACAGAGACTCCATAGTAGCAGCTGATGAAGTAAGGAATAGATAAGAGATGTTTGGGAAACAGCCTTTCCTATTGATTTTGCATGTTGAGGGAAAACCCTTGAGCAGAGGACATCTCACCAGATAGTAAAGAAGAAAAAGGCTGAAAAAAAGTGGAACACACATCCACCATGTTTAAGAACAGGCTGGTTCTCCTCTACACTATTTAGATGTAGTGGGTTGGGGTTTTGCTGGTTTGTTTTTTAAACCTTTTAATTAATGTCATTGTTACTGACAATTACAATACACCCATAAAAAAGACTCTTACTACAAGAAAGCAAGCACAACTAATGGAAAAATTAAGCAATTTTATAGTTGTCAGAATCTCAAAGACTTACATCAAAAGAACTGACCTACATTAATTAAAAAAACCAAACAACAAAACGGAGCCAAAAATTTAGCAATTCCTGATAATCATGTTCTGACAACTATTTATTGTAACAGTTCAGTTTGAGTATTTCTATTTTAAACCCTCAAGTTTAGCAAAAATTAACTCAGAAGAGATAAATCTTCGTTAGAAACACTGTTACTAAAAAGGCAGAATTTATCTGTGTGCAGGGGGAGGTGGAGCTGGGAGAAAAAGTATGTCATATCAAATGTAATACATTAAAATTTTAAAGCAATTAATGTATTTAATTTAGGTTTAGTATCAATATCAATTGGTAATACCCAGAGCTTTTTAAAAGTAAATGTACTAAAATTTGCAGCAACTGTCAAAAGACAATGACAGTACAAATTATGTATTTAGCTCCAAAGTGCCTCAAACTGAAGAAAAGTTATGTTTCATGCAGAAACATAAAACCTAAAAAATGGTGCAAGTGGAAGGCATGCATGGAAACAGTCAGGATGAATTTACATGAAAAGAGGGAAACTTCTGGCTTAATACAGGTTAATAATTTTGTTCATTTTCATTAGGTTTTTATTTCAAATTGAGTTTCAGAAAAGAAAGGCAAAGGAACTATGACTTTCGAGCCATGCTCTCCCCTGCACTGAATTAATAAATAGTGTAAAAAACAATTATGTCCAGAATCCTCCCAGAGATACAAGGATACGTGCTCCAGCTCAGTCCCAGGCTCTCCACCACAGTCCGAGCCCAGCCTAGACCAGAAAGCACCCCAAAGAACACACATACGTTTGATATCATGGTGGATAATCCTCTTGGAGTGGAGAAAGTCAAGTCCTTTCAGAATATGCTTTGTCACCCAAATGATTTCAAATTCTCTCATAGGACCACAACTCTCCAGCTTTTCCATGACAGATCCTCCCTCTCCAGCTTCCATAAAGAGATGGATCGTCTCATCCCACAAAATAGCACCGTATAATTCAGCAATGTTTTCATGACGGAAACATGCCTGTATTTCAACATCCGAGGGTTTGAACTGTTCCACTGGGACCTAGGACATTGAAACAAAGCCAGACAAAACGAACTCAATAAGCACGTTATCCATACTTAACACTAGTTATCCTACAGATTAAAATGGAAGAAGGAAGCAAAGCACTTCCATCCATTTGCTAAAATACAGAACTTTATTTTGATCCTGTGACCTGTTCTTCCTTTCCACTTGAGATACATCCTGTTTAAAGTTGAGAGAGTTTTTTGGAATCACGCCCAAATAAAAAGTGCAATCTTCCAGAAAAAGCAGTGTAGCAAGAGTTATTCCCGTCAAAATCTGGTGGTTATGCAAAAGCTCTATGCAAACTTCCTGGTGAAAGAGATAAAAAATCCCTCTGCTTTTTCCATTAGCTTTGTGCTGTCTCATCTGCTTTACCAGAGCTATATATGTGACCCGTGAATCAGTGCTTGCAGCATCCAGCACAGTCTACAGACTAACCATACTCAGGACTTTCCTGACCTTGATTCAATCCTTATCAGCACTGATTTATGGCTTTATGAAACCTGCTTGAAAGCAAGCACCCAGCAGCACAATATTTCTTTACCAACAGCAGATTGCTAACACAATAAAAGCCGTGTTTACTTATAAGCAGAAGGGCTGCTACCGCTCTTTTTATTTTCTTTCCCTCAACCCTGTGGTTGTGAACCAAATAGAATGCTAATATTTTTAATTGCAATGAGAAATACTCTTTGTATATTCAGGAACATTAGGGTGCTTTAATTCTGCAGTTGGTTATACAGGAGCAGCAAACTAAATCTGCCCCCATATGGATGCATTGGCTGCAAGGGAAGTACATACACAACTGCCTCCTCAACTCTTTCACACACAAAAGTAATACAGGTGTTTAGGCACATGCTGGGGGATACAGAGTAATGTCCCAGATGAACTCGTACTGGCCCTAAATATTTACTGCTCAATTCAGAATACTATGTTCAAAGGTAAAGTTGAAAGAAAACACTGGCTTGCTTAAAAATTGGGGGGTGCTCAGCAGTTTTCTTGAGATATCTCTCAACCTTAAGCTCAGTCAGGACCCAAAACACAATGAGAACTGCATGTAAGCTGAGGTCTTAGAGACATTAATGGCACTGGAGTAAAGGAAACTTAAGCCTAAGGACCTCAGTTAAAGTACAAGATCCTAAAACTTTCTGCAGCCACGGGGTTTTGCTATCACCTTCAGCAGAGACGTGATCTCATGCTGGTATTTTACCACTGTGAGTATAGTAGGACTAGTAGAAATTCTTCTACCCCCACACTGCAGCCCATGTGGCAGTTACACATACTTCCAGATACTTTCAAAATGCAGAAACTTTTGCAGCCTCAGAGCCAGAAAATTAAAACATTAATTTTTCCTACCTTGTGTAGGGGAACAAAACCAAATTGATTATCAGCCTAACAGTGGAATTTGATGCAGACATGCTTGAAAATATAGTGTATGTACTATGTCATACAATATTTGCTCAGAGATAAAACTACTGAACTAACATACCAGTTTGCATGCCATTCGTTTCTTGGTTTCTCTATCTTGGGCTAAGTACACCTTCCCAAAAGCTCCCCGAGGAATAAAATCAGAGCCAATGTTCCTGTAAGTTAGCTTCCATGGAAACAGGAGCACATCTGAGTCAATTTGGTAGCGCCCGTTCTTGGGTGTGATCTGTGAGTTAAATTAAAAACAACAAAAAACCCCACAATGAAATTAAAACTACTTCAAGCCTAATTAATTTTATACATGTAGTGGAAAAGAAAACAATATAACACATATATGTGCATGATGCATGTGATCTGTTCAGCAGTCTTTATTTAGAAACACCAAATGGGAACAGCATGTGAGGTGTGGCATTCATTCACAGCCCAAGCATCCATGTTTCTCTCCAGTGACTAACTTACAAAGTGTAAGTTGCAATTAATTGTCTTGAAACAACAACAACAGCTGCTGGGTTAATGAAATTACCCACCTCTTGTTATTAGATTTACCTGCACATGTTTGCCCTTCCTGTAATCTGCTAACTTGTTATGCCACATACCTGTTACTCACAGGCTATCTTATACAATGTGAGCAAGAGTTTCAGCATTTCCTAATATCACATGTACTGCTAGGGGAGCACATTTTCATTTTCCATCTTGTATCAGAGTTTCTACTGTTTAGTAAAAGAAGTCTGTAAAGAAGTCTGCCAGAGTTTTATCAACCACCTTCTCCTAGTTTTATACTGTTGTTGAAATAAAAGGAGCATGAGTCATACTGTCTGCTTTTGGTAGGTAGTGTTGGGAGCTTTGGTTCTCTGTACTGTCAACAAGGGAAGGAGGGCTGGTCCAAGAGCAACTCACAGCATCTAAGCCAGTATCTTGCTCTAAATCTTCCTCTGAAACAGCTCCCTCCCTCCGCACATGACAGAGAGACCAAACTCCCTAACTACAGCCATGTGAGTACTGCCTTATGTTTGATGTTATTTCTTCAACCTCTTAATATTCTCTAAGGTAAAGAACTAGTAACGTTTCCTATGAAAACACTTCTAATTTATTTAGGGATTATTTATTTAGGGAGTATTGTCAGTATCTGGGAATATGATTAACCTATTTACTGCTACTTTATCAAGATTCTTGAAGACATGTAGAAGCACATCAAAGATATTTATCACTTCACATCTGTCACATGGCCTCACATACTCAGCTCTTCAACTACTCTTTTTAAGATAACAGCATATTAGTAGATTATTTGGTTTAGATTTCTTTTTAAGATGTAACACAATATTTCTGCGCTTTAACACAATTTAATCTTCACGATTTTCAGTTGAGAAAGTATCTTCTTGACTACCAAAACTGTCAGTTGTAACTAGTATCTACATGAACTGAGTTAATTCTTTGAAGTTCATAATTTTGTGGAGGGTAAGTTCTTAACTGTTGGGCCAGAGGGGTATATTTAAGAAAAAGTATTTTGCTTAGGATATACAGAATGAGCCTCCCCTCTACTTATCAGAACCAAGGGAAAGATGCTAGCAATCCGTACATCCCACCTGCTTGCTTCTGCATTTCAAGGGGTTGAGACCAGCTAATCCACATGGGTTACACCTATCCTGGAAAGTAACACAGATGGAGTGGATTGGATTCGCAGAACAAGAAAGCAGTGACCAGCACACCATTCACATTTCCTGGAGGCTTTTAGGACTAGTCCCTAGCCTGGTCTCACAGATTGAGTGCTCATCTGTGGCTGTAGTGTATCCACCAGTTTAGTTTTAACTGAAAGAAATCCAGCTTGTGCACTCCAAGACTTCGCGACACGAGCCATGGGTCAGTGGGGGTCACCAAGCAAACAGAAACACTCCTGATCCTAACTAAAATGCTGTAGATATTTACAATGTAGATGCACCTGCTGGAAACCATGTACGGGTAATGCCCTGCCTCCAATCCTCAGTTGCTTAATGGGATCATGTGCACCTAATTGTACTTGGTTCATACCAATTGCATGTAGAAACAACATGCAAAAAAAACAACCATGAGTACGTAGAACAGTGTCTATCCTATGTATAGGAAACATTTAATATTACTAAGTGTCCTTTCAATGTTACAGAGTTTAAAAGTGACGGTTTTGCAATACTGCAATGCTTTCTTCAAAGAGGGACAAAGCAGTACCCTGTGCTACTTCACACCCAAGTAATCAGTATGCCTCAAGCAACCAATGTTCACATATAAAACATATTACATGCAAGATATTTAAGATTATAGATGCAGAATATCTTAAGAAAATAAAGCAGCAGCAGAAGCATATATGAATAAACTTCCATTTCATAACTGATTATTTCCAGCACAACTGTTTCTAAATAGAAGTCCAATGATGCTAATGTCTACAGATGCTTGTAGAACACAAATCATTTTAGGGGGAAAATTAACATCTCTCAAACTATTGCACTCATACTTTAATTTCGCAGTGTGTGATATTATGCAATATTGTAATTCCGAAAGTCACTGTTGATACTATATGCTTTTTCTCCTTACTTTGTTGTATTTTACATTTTGTGCAATTAGAATGAACTCAGTAAGTATACCAAAATAGATCCTAGAACTTTATTTGGAAGTTTTGCATAGTCAACTCTTTTTACTGCATAAGGCATTGGAAAATCCTTACCATCTCCCAAACCTGCAAGCCATCATAGTTGTGGTTTTTGCTTTTTTACTGCATGTTGGGAAATTTTTTCTATTCTCTAGGGATATAAAGAGGCAACATAGAGTGGCACTTGCTGAACAACAGACCTTTCTTCATAGCTGCCTGAGACTGTAGGGGCTAGACTTGATGTCCTCAGAGAACCCCTCCAGTCCCAGGGCTGCCCACAGAACCACAGCCTGACTGTTACTCCCAGGACTGAAGATGAACTTTGTTTAGATTCATTAAAAACTTCTAAGGTCTACTAATTTTCATATAAAAAGAAAAGAGACATACCATATTCAAGAGGATTCCAGATTCTTGCTGTCTGCATCCTTTAAATTGTTTTGCAGTGTTAGACACCTGATTTGCAAATGCAAGCAGGTCTTCCACAGTCCCGTATTTGACAGATGACATCAAAGAAACCTCCCTTTCACAAAACAGTAAAGATTCTGCACTTTCTTCATTCTGATTTGCTTCTTCACACATTGCAATTAAGCTGTCTTCATAGACTGCAAGGTCTCCAGCTGGATAAAGGTTTTCCATGATGTCTATCACCTCAGACATATTTAAATTAGTTAGCAACAAGTCAATCTCCTCTTTGCTATCACTACCCGTGCTCATATACTCCATTACTGTTCACTTTGCAAAACCACTCCTGAAAAAAAAGGAAAGAAACAAACCTGAAAACACTTTTCACCTAAATTTGTTTTAGTAAAGTAAGAGTGAAAAGAAGTGATCAGGGTGATAAGTGATAATTCAGCATTATACAGTTAGGTTTAAAATTATTATTAAAAAAAACCCAAACCTGTAATTAGTAGCCTGCGTGAAGAGGAAATGGAGGAAAAAAAAGTCTTTGGCAGTGAAATCTTATTTAGAATTTATTAGGGAACCTATCCTGTCATTCATTCTTGGAATTTACGTTGATAAAGCTTTTTGTTAGTGGAACTGGACAGTAAAGAGCACAAACTGGTTATATTTTGCTGGATATGCAAAAATGAAGTAGCATCCTCAATACAAATGAATGAATTTATTATTTGGAAATGAATGACAGAAAGAGACACAAACATACTCAATTAGTTTATCCCCAAGTTTTTATGAGCAATTTATGTAATGTGTCCAGAATGGGGAGAAGGTCATGGAGTAAAAACACTCCACTAGTAACAAGCGGCTGTTAATATCATTGCTTAAAGCACAAGTAAATCACCACCTGACATACGCAATCCATCTTTTTCACAAAAACTGATCTAGAACTAGACTGGAACTGAAACTTTCACCAGTTTCAGAAGAAAGTCAGAAACTGAGTTATAACAGCAACGACTTTTTGAAACAGTTTTCAGCAGTTTGTCCCGCCTTAATAGTCCTAAAAATAACTTCTTAAGATAAATCTTGACCATTTTGCTGCAGTCGATTTTCACTACAAGAAACTGGGTTCAACATCCCAAAAAGTCCCTTCCCATCCCAGGTTCCTACTTTAAGTCAGAGAGAGTTACTCTATTCAAGTTAAAAACATATGCATGGTCAGTAATTAAAATACTTACATAAATAGTTTTCAACACGTAAATGTCTAGAGCACTTACCTTGTATTTATCCTGGTTACATCACACAAAACCATCAAAACCACCTCAATATAATCCCTAAAGTTGTCATGTTTCTTGAACCTGTGTTTACCACTGATGACAATTTCACAGCGTTCTGTAGCAGTCTATTAAAAAAAGCAAAACAAATAAAACCATGGCATACTAGTTCAAGCAGAAGGACTGGTTTACACTCATACAATCATTTGCTTCACAGGCTTCATGGAAAGAAAAACTAGTAATCACAAGGCTGAGATAACAGGGGATTTTTCTGCAGAAAAAGATGACACCTCAAAAAAGAATCATCATCCAGATTTCCAAGTAGTAGTGAAAAATATTTTTTCCACGGCTAGGTCTTGAGTTTTAGTCTCCCTGCCTCATGCTTGCTAACAGTAAAGAAGAGAAGGATCTCTTCTTCCTCTAGCAGAGCCAAGCAGATCATGCCCTATTTAGAGAGCTCTCACTTCCCTTTTTCATAATCCACTGCAACCATCTATTTTGGGTTAAAGATAACAACCATACAAAAAGCTAATTAAAAAAAAAACAAAAACAAAACCAACCAAACAAGAAACAAACCCAAAACCAAAAAGAAACCAAAAAGAAAACAGAAAAGAAAAGCAGCAATCATAGCCTATTTATCTCAAGGACAAACGGCAAACTCGGTCCCCTGAGGCCATGAAGCAATGCCGGTTACCCAGGTACAGTTTCTGGTTACGATTATTATCTTTCTAACCCTCCCCACAAGGATGTGGAAGCTTTGTGGCACGTATTTCTCATGGGTTAGAGTATTTACGTCAGCTCTAACGTTGAAGAAAACCAAGTAAAATGACGCATCGGACTTGGAAAAGAAACTCAGACCATGTGCTGCGAGTTCGAAAGGCAGGACAGGACAGCTCAGCAGATGCAGCACAGGAAAAGGCAAGTGGAGTGCCTGTGATGCAACACGCTCCTTTCCAAACCCCCAGAGGTGACAGTGGCAGAGCAGCACTGTGCCCCTCCCTGTCCCCCCAAGAGAGACACAGCGACTTTCATCAGCACTCCACCAGCTCACCCAAGCCTCCTGTCAACTTGACAGCAGCCCGGTGGGAAACCTTGTGGTCACTAGCACTACTCAAGCAGGGAGACTCAGGTTTTATACCTGGGATGCTGAGAGAGGTCAGTTTTTTCCAACCTACACAAGAGGAAATAGATACTTGGGGTGTTTTCTAACCTCTAGCATCCAACCTTCCTGCTCTATACCCAGTCTAAAAGCTGTTGACAAGTCATTTCAGAGTGTTTACTCTTCATTGTAAAGGAGATTTCTGGGTTTCCCCACAGCAGTACTTTTATTCATTACCCACCCCCCCCCCCCCCTTTTTTTTTTTAAGGTGCTGAATTATTGGGGGTCGAGAGAAAAGAAACAGTACAGTCATAAAAGGAACTGAGAGACTGCAAGTGTGAAGTCAGGTAAAGTTAGAAACTAGTCCCAAGGGACTTTCTAGAGAAAAACACGACCCCCTAGATGCTTGGGTCTTTTGTGAATAAAGACAAGCATGTACCACAATTAAACTAATTCACTCTCTGATAACCTTTTCATGCATGAGGCATCTGTACAGTTTAAACCAAATGCAACTTTCTGTAAATGCCAGCTCTTCTCTGTTCCTCAAAGTGTTCCAAAACTACATCACGATACTAACAATACTCTTGATAGTGTCACTATTACCCCAAAAGCTCTGAATAACAAGAAAAAGTGATTACAACCCATGCATTCTTAGTTCTGTGCTTTTAGTGCTTAAGAAAAGCTGCAGAACCCTCATTCACATCTGCAACTACCTGAAAGGAGATTGTAGCAAGGTGCACATCAGTCTGTTCTCCGAAGTAATACAGGGCAAGAGGAAATGGTCAAGTTGCACGAGGAGAAGTTTAGACTGGATATTAGGAAAGATTTCTTCACTAAGAGGCTTGTCAAGCACTGGAACAGGCTGTCCAGTGAAGTGGTTGAGTCACAAAGATGTGTACATGTGGCACAGTTTAGTGCTAGACTTGGCAGTGTTAGGTTAACGGTTGGACTCTATGATCTTAAGGATCTTTTCCAACCTTAACGATTCTACATTTTCCCTGTATATAGCAAATTTTAAACACTAAATGTTGACACAAGAGCAGTGACTAGACTTTGCAAAGCTGATTTTTTAAATTATGCAGCAATTTATGCATTAAATTTTCACCACCAGCAAAAAAAAGGTGTCCATTTGCTAACAGGGCCATCCTTCATTTTCATCCCTAAAATCCTGTACTAAAACCTGTACTGAGGACCCAAGTAATATTCTAAATTACAATACAGGTACATACAGAAATTATATCACTAAGTATGCTTTACTTAGGTTCTCAGTTAAAAAAACTGTTCTTACCTGCAGTGGAAAAATAAAACTAAATGTAAGCACTTAAGTCAGTTTCTAAAGCACAAGACTCTTGCTCCAGTTCTGCCATTATTTCAACATTGCCACATGAGTAATTTGCAAGCCAAAGGTTTACTTCTCTATTTATCACAAGTAGCTTTTCCTTAAACCCTATTTTTTCTTTTTTTTTTTTTTTTTTTCCTTCTGAGAAGTGTGTTGCTTGACAGCATCCTTACATCCACCATATCGAATGAACAGTAACTGGACACCAGCCTTCTGAGATCCTGGGGGATTTTTGTGTGTCAAGAATCAACAAGGCAAAAAAAAACAAACAAAACCTACAATAAAATCAACCAAACACCACCCTCCCCTCAAAAAAAAATACCCTCCTCATCCTTTGCCTCCCCCCCCCAAAAAAAAAACCAAACCCAAAAAACTAAAACATCAAAGCACCAAAAACCACAAATCCAACTGATCAAAAGCTGCACCGACTGGCTTAATACGATCCTACACCCATAATAAAGATTTCTTGGGCTGCTTTTAGGGGATAATTTAAAAAAAAAATGAATGGCAAATAATTGTCCATAAGCGATGAAAACAAGTTACTATTCGCTTTTACTAAAAGCTACCGACAGACCTTAAGAACCACAGTCCCTTCGGAAAAAAAAAAAAGGGGGGGGGGGGGGAAGAAAAAGCTCTGCTATTAAGAAACAAGAATTATCAACAATTTCAACTTCTACATCATCGCAGTTTTTCACTACAGAAACACTACAGTGCTACAGAAAAGTGTTCGTGCGCTCCCTCCCCGTCCGCTGCCTGCGCAGACCCCGGGAACAGCAGCACAGGTGCTGCGGATCAAACGGCTACAGCGCAAACACGGTGCACTGCGAGCGGAGGACATCCAGGAGCCTCCCCAGCCCTATTCCCGCACTTCCATCCCTGCTGCCAGCCGGCCGAGCGGGGAAGTAGCCCAGCTGTCTCCTCACCGGCACCGCAGTTCCGTCCCTTCCCATCCTGCCGGCGCTGTCCCAGGGCTTCTCCCGCCTGACCCGAGGCCCCACTGCCCCAAGCCCGTTCCGGCTTACCCGCGGGACGCCAGAAGCCGCTCCGTCCGTCCGTCCGTCCGTCCGTCCGCACGCCGTGAGCGCCGGGCGCTCTCGGCCGGATCCCGCGGGGAACTCCCGGAGGCGGGGAACTCCCGGAGACGGGGAGGGCGCAGGTGGCACCGCCCGCTCCACGTCGAGGGCGGGGGACCGGGACGGCCCCGGCCGAGGTTTCTATTTCGGCTTCCTGGAAGGGAGGAGCTGCACCGCCCTGCTCTGGGCGCCGCCACGACGCTACCAGAGCCCCGGTGCCATCCGTGAGCCCCTCGGTCTCCCCTGTCACGGGCGCATCTAGGGGGATCCTGCCAGCTCCCTACGCACACCGAGTTCAAGCATTATTAACGACTGGCTTGATGACCTTTAAGGTCTTTTCCAACATAGCTGATTCTATGGTTACAGGAATAAAAATTCAGCTGAAACTGGTGGAATACAGGACAACAACGTGAAGGATTTGTTAGCGGCGGTGGGATTGAAATGCTCTGGGGACAGCAGTGTAAACTTGGTAATTGCTAAAATTGGGCAGGATTATATTTTATTTCTCATCCAAAAGGTAGTAACTCCTGCAAGGACTGCACTGCCCAGCTGTTCCTCTTCACCGAATTAGCTTTTAAGGAGAGAAGTGACACCTCTGGATCACCAAACCCAGTTGCCGCAGCACTAGGAGCAGATGATGTGAACCTGCCTCAAGGTCTCATGAGACAGAAGCTGTATTTTCTGTTTATTATCTGCACTATAATGAGTATTTGCTTACTGAAGTTGGTGGCAAAACTTTCATTTTAAAGCTTCAGAACACTCTCCTTAGGCTCCAGTGTTTATTATCAGTACATACAACTCCTTTTCTGTTTCCATTACCTAGACACACCGATTCCCTTGTTTAAAGGTTGCACATTTGCTACGTGTCTTGTGCTGTTCAAAACTGCCCAAAGTATGGCACAAATGACATTCTGAAATGTGTAGGGAACTAGACAGGCTCACTAGCTGATTTTGTTTCCCTTAGCATCACAACTTAGCATGTGGAATACTGCTAGCAGTGTTAAGATCTGTTCACACAAGGTTTCTTCTCCAAAATACACAGATGATAAACACATCGGCAAACCTCCATAAAGAAATACATATCTATGTTGAGTTGGACCTTGCCCAGTTGCACTAACTACTCTGTACATTTACTAAGAAACACCTGTGAAAAAATGCAAGCAAGCTGAAGATCATTGAAATAAAACCAGAGGAAGGAAATTGAAGGCGACTAAGGAAGCAGGCAGGCTACAGGAGAGGTAAAAAGGAGAGAGGCCAGGCCTAGAAGAAGGCAGAATTGGAAGCACCTTGAATGTGGAAGGTTAAAGCTGAGCAAACACATTCTTACACACAGCACCTCTCAAGCTAGGAAACCTTCGGTATCCTCTTTGAGGAATTTGCTTGGGTTATTAGTGTTCCTAAACCCACAATTAATTTTAATGAATCCATTTTCCTTTTTTTAGACCAGCTTCAAAGGGAAAAAGAGGAGGAGTTTCTCTCCACATCACTGCATTTACAAAGGGCAAGTCATAGGATTCCAGAGGAAACTCACCATGGAAAGATGGAGGAAACACAGGTTTCTGCTCCATGGCATGTGTATGTAGGGTATAAACTGAAATGCAGTATTTAAAAAGCAATCTACTCAGATTCAGGATCATCCTAGGATACAAACCCGAGGTAGGTCATAGCAATTACTTACAGACCCTGACTTACTAGGAGGCTCCCAAGGGTACAGCTCTGCAGTGAAGACGTGCTAACACACAAAAGAGCCACACAGCCCAGCCTAACATACAATACACATATAACCCTAAGTTTTTTAAGAAATCACTATTTTTAAATACTAACAAAAATGACATTTTCATCAGTCCATACCTGGGAACCATACTGTAGGCTACTTCCTGGGTGCCCTGCAGCTCTGTGACCTAACCACTGCATTTCTGATCCTGCAGAACATGCATACTGCCTTCTCTATAGTAACTCCCTTTTCTCACCCCTGCCATGGGACCGGACAAATCACAAAATGGTTTGGGTTGGAACAGACCTTCTAGATCATCCAGTTCCAAC